CTGTCACAGCCTGAAAATGCTACCTTGGCATTCTTGGGACCATCCTAGCTGCTATGGGATTACCCAGACTGACTCAGGGACCAGCTCAGATGCTGTGGGGTGGCAGGCTGGCCAAACCTTCTTCATCCACTGTATGTACAGACTCTCTGGGTCTCCTGTCTCCCTTGGCCAGTGGCCGACATTCCTTTTTGCAGCTCCTTTCTTGTCATCGACCTTTATCTCCTGTGACTTTAGCTCTGCAGAGGCAGAGAAGCTGATACTCATCACATGCTGACCCAGACTGCTTAAGCAGAGGAGAGGAACTGTGAGTTAAGACAGGGAACACCTGCAGAGACCTGGGCACAGTGATTTTCAGCTCATAGCTCCTTCCAGATACAGCATCCTCGGACATCCTGCTGAAGTCCCGGCAGCCACAGTTCACTGTGTAAGGGCTGTGGGATTGCTGCTTCTCTACAAGCTGAGAGGCAACAGCTATTGTTATGGTCCCGGAGTGGACCCTGGGAGTGCTTACCACATCCTCATCCACTGGCCTACTGGATCAACTCAGAACCATTTAACAGAAAACCTCAGAGATGACATACAGCTTGGATAGGCTCTAGGTGAATACCAGCCACTCACCATCTGGTCCAGGTGGGCCTGCAGGTCCAGGTACTCCTTGGAGACCTGGTTTTCCATCAGCTCCTGGTGGACCTGGATAGGGTGCTGGGTGGCCCGGTTCTCCTGAGAAGCCTTTGGGTCCCATCTCCCCTGGAAGGCCTCTTTTTGTATCTGAAACCCAAGAGCATTCACAGTAGGTGAGTGTTCTGATATTTAAAGATTGTGTCAGTTTTCATGTCACAGGGGACCACCAGGGACAGGTGTCAAGGACTAGTTATCAGCAGAAGTGATGGCCTTGGTATGCTATTTCATAGCTTGTCTACGTTTACAACTTCCACAATGGCCTGGGACTATGACTATTTGCTGATAACACTGGACAGCACCTTGCTTCTTTCATCGAGAGACTAGATCGCACCAATCACCCCTCAGTGTCACAATTTAACCTAGATGGTGGTTACAACTGCATGTACTCTTCATCTCATCAGTAGCTGAGGCCACTCCATGAGAAGGAAGGATGGAGCCACAGGAAAGTCACATGGCCAGCAAAGCCTGGTCCATGTTCATACCTTAGACCAGGTACCTTCTGATGCTACAAAACTCCATTACCTTCATCTCCAATAGATGGGCCTGGGGGTCCCATGGGGCCAGGGTCTCCTGGCTCGCCTCGGCTTCCTGGTTCCCCATGAGCACCTGGGAATCCTGGGTCACCTCTGGCACCTGCAACCAAGACAGGTCCCTTGCAGTGAGAAGCATTGTCTAGGAACAAGGCCCCACCATAGCAAAGAGGTTGCCATTTGCAGGCCACTGCAGGCATCCACTTCCCAGTGAGTACACTGTGCCCAGGGAGAGGAAGGGAGTGTTGAAATGCTGAAAATACAGAGGGCCCTAATTCACAGCCTAGTTGGGTAAGATTCGGATAAATGTAAGACAATGCAGAGGCACAAAGGATGCCACAGGGACGCACAGAGGTTTCAGTGGAGAGCAAATTGATTTAGGAGGACTCAATGAATTCTAGGTGTTAAAACTAGAACCTTTGGGTCTCCTAGAAATGCAGAAATGCCCTCCATCGGTCACAGATGGAGTCACAACTGGATGGTAGTGAGTGTTGTCAGGCAGAACCAAAGTGACTGTTTCTAATGACACCTCTAAGGCACCAGGGGAGCTGGACTGTCTCCCAAGGTTGCATTGTGAATACCTTCACTTTGTTTCACTTAGAAATCTGTCTGGAGAGTTTATGACTTTGCTCTCGACAGAAGAGGTTCGATGTGAGGCTACACTGTGCACTGAAGCTCTTGTACCAACCTTTTGCCAGGGATGGATGGGGCGAGTAGACAGGGGGTCCTGGAGGGCCTTGCTGTCCACGTTCTCCCTGGGGGAAAGAGGACACTGTGAGTCTAGCCTTCTGGAGTTTTCTTAATTTACATATTGTCCAGGAGTGAGCCGAATGTGGAATTGGTTTAACAAGGCAGGTTTTCGTACTATCCAACCTAGACTGTCCCTATGGCAACATCTCTACCATGTGACAGCGGGGAGTTCCTGCATCCCAGCCACCAGACAGACATAAAAGGGAACACCACAGCATGTGTGGATCTCCTCGTGAAGCCCTTGCCAGGGGTAGGGATGCCGGAAGTGGCTGGGAGACTGTGGGATGGTATTGAAGCTCAGGCCTTCACAGTGTTGACATCCGAACCATCTGGTCGGGTAGCGGGGGGCAGCATGAAGATGCAGGGACGCCCAACACCATCTGCTCTGTAGAGCTGCCTCATGTGGACTCAAGATACACCCACACACTTCCCTGTTCTCCCCAGACATGTCCTCTAGCAGAAAGGGCCACCCATAAGGCTGAGTCCCCTCACTTGATCTTCCCACCCAGCCCTTATGGTTAATCATACAAGTTGAATCTCCATCAGGAACTGGAGGTATCCCTCTTCCCCATATTTTTGATAAAAGTCAGCCTCCTGCTGCCCTTCGGGGGGGTCAGGCAGCACACAGTCCCCCCCCCCCGTATCACATTAATAACCGCTGCTCATGTCCTCTGCCCATCTGCCCATGCTGTTTAGGTGAGGAGCAGGATATCATCAGAAAAAGAGACACGTCACCTTGGGTCCTCGAGGTCCACTGGGGCCTTGGAAACCATCCAGGCCTCTGCTTCCCTGCAAGAAAGATGGACTTGTTATCTCCAGCTTCAGGGGGAACCTCCAGAAATAAACCCAATGCCACTTTCACCAGCCCAGCCAAAGCAGCCACCAAGCATCCCCTTAACCACACTCCCCCAAGTGCACCACCAACTCCCCCATTTCAGACACACATGTGTCTTTAAAGATGCTTTGCTTGAACCAGAAGCCAGAGTCCAAATGTGGCATTTGTAGTGTCTGCCAATTCTCTTTTAGTCCCTAACAGTCTTTTCATCCTTTGTGCTTTTTTTTCAGATTTATTTTATATGTACGAGTACTTTGTCTACATGTATATATGTGTGCCATGTGAGTGGCTGGTGCCTGTGATGTCAGAGGAGGGGCTCAGATACTGGACTAGGGTTACAGATGGTTGTGAGTGACCAAGTGGGTATTGGGAAGCCCCAGTCCTTTGCAAGAGCAGCCAGTGCCCTCCCCTTGGTACTTTTCCTTAGGTGGGTTGCTGGCATTGAGAATATTGGGTGGTTTGTGATTCTGCCCCTTTGGCACTGTGTAATATGGTCCCCCATCCACTTTATTCCCCACCCAGCATCCAAGTGAGCAGGGGACTGTGTAGGACCTGTCTCCACCTGCAGTGGCAGTCTCAGCATCACTCTAGGGACCAGAGAGCTATCTGCCATGCTAGCAATTCCTCCCTTCCTTCCTTCCTTCCTTCCTTCCTTTCTTCCTTTTTGTTTTTTCTTTCATTTTTCAAGACAGGGTTTTTCTGTGTAGCTTTGTAGACCAGGCTGGCCTCAAACTCAGAGATCCACCTGCCTCTGCCTCCCGAGTGCTGGGACTAAAGATGTGCGCCACCGCTGCCTGGCTCCTTGCTAGCAATTTCTTAACTGATCAGTGGGATCACATCTGATCCACTCGTTTAAACTCTCTTCCATGATGAGTTTTGAAAAATTCCAACAAACAGGATCCTTAGAGCCTCTTGATTTGGAATTTCTCTTTCCATTAAAACATCCTCAACAGCAATCTGGTCTCCAGTTTTCTCAAGCGCCCATCACTGAGGGAGCTGTCCTGGTGTGTGAAGCTTTCTGAGCAGCTAGTCCCTCTTGTAAAAGACCACATTCTGCAAAGCCCCCAAGTCATGCCAGGGCAAAATAGAAAATGGGGCCTGTTGTCTAGTTACTTCACAAGGTTTTCAGACCCAGGAGCTCACATGCTGTTTGATGGACTAAGATTGTCTGAATTTTTTTCCTTTTCTTTTTCTTTTGCAGGGCTGTGGCTGACACTAGGCCTCACACACTAGGTGGAGCTGGAAATTCAAGAGTGGTTGATTTCATGTCCTAGAAGAACCCTGAGCCCCCAAGGAGACTCGCTAGCAGAGGCCCTCTGTAGCTGGCAGGAGTGTGTGGTCAGGAAGTCTTTACTGCTAGGCTTCCAGGGAATGTCTCAAGTGTGTTTCCACGTCTTTCTAGATCATAGGTCTTTCCTCATCCTTGTTGTATGGATTCAATCATTATGCTGGCCAGGCCCTGCCACCTGGCAGAATGCACTCAGGCAGTACTCTGGTCAGACCAGGGTTCTATGACTACTGGTCTGCATGCAGCTGCAAAGGACCCCTTTAAAAGAAAGACCCCTATCTACTTATGCTTTTTCCTGGTCTCTTTCCTGCTGTTCCCTGGTACAGACAGGACTTTTCCTGTCTCCCTCTTCTCTTCTGTCCTCTCTCTGTCTGTGTGTCTTTACCTCTTTTCTCTTTCCTTCCCCCTCCCTCCCCTTTCTAATAAAACTTCTCACTTAGCTCTGTCTGCCTAGTATGTTTGTTCCCTACTTCAGTCACCCTTGCCCGCCATGGAATCCGCCAAGGTCCCCCTCAAGCTTCATCATAACACCGTGGCACAGAGAACAACTGTTGGTGCATTGCAACTTAGGGGCCTTGGGGCAAAGACTTCTCCCGGGCTCAGTCTGAGAGGGCGGAGGTGCAGGAAGGTGCAGCAGCACCATGCCACTGAATGCCCAGTCTGCGGGCACAGCCTTGCTGCGTGCTTGTGACTCCCACAGAGCTGGAAAGTCACTTCTTGATAGAGGTGACTCTTGGAGTCTGAAAGTTTTGTTACAATCCAGTGGTGCTGTCCACACAGGGATGGCTTGTTCCTGTGCTGTTCACCCATACTACATGAGGACTGTGGTCAGTGCACGGTCCCAGGAGACTAGGCTACTACGAGCATGCCCTATGGTCTCTCCAGGGTGGGAGAAGACTTTGCTGACATAAACAGGTCTCCCCAAGTGAGGGAAACGATTGCTAAATTTTCAGAAAACATTAATATAACCAAATGCACAAGATATCCCTGTTCCCCGACAGGAGCCGTTTACTTTGCTAGGAGTTCATGTCCATGTGTCTGTGTCCATGTGTACGTGCACATAGGCATGTGTAGCAGGTTCTTTGTTCTCGCAGGGAGGTAGGGGCTTCCCTAAGATACTCGGTTTCTCTGCTTCCTCCTTCTCTGGCATGCTGCTTTAATGGGTCACTGTCCACAGTGGCTCCTTGGAGCTGCCTTGGGTTCTGGCTCCTAAGGCCCCAGCTTCAGTACATCTGGGAAACTCATGTGGAGGCAGCAGCTGGGCCAGTTGGATAATGCAGTTTGTACTAACATGCAGTGTGATGAGTCATTTGTGTATGTCTGCCTATTTCCCTATTTTTTCAGTTGGGTAAACTATCTCTTCCTCTGACCCATTTAAGCACAGATGTCTGTTTCTTCCCAAGTTACAGAGAGAAAGCTGTGTGGGCATTGCGATCATACTTAAGCTTGAGCAGCAGCAGCTGGGGGACTCAGGGACCAGGGCTTGCGGGGCCGGAGTCTAGGGTTCTAGTCCTCATGGACTTTTAGGTCTTGGGGCAGTTGTGCTGAACCATTGTTTTAGACATGACAGCTCCTTTGTGTTCCGTGACGAGTGACAACATGTCACCCACCCACCTCAGCGAGTCATTGACTCTGATTCAACTGGGTTTTGGGTGCAGTATCTGCTTATTTGCCTCTACAGTATCTGCTTATTGCCATCCTTAAGTGAGTCGCATTCTGGCCTCGGCTGAGGAGCGGGGGACAGCTATTGCTTCTGGTGTGTTACCTCTGGGGACACTCTTAGCAAGAATTAATGTGAAAGGAAGTTGGGTGTAGTTAGGGTGAGGCTGCCACCCTGAGTTTTGGGTCAGCAATGAGAAGAAATGAGAACAGTCATGACATCGGTCTTCATGGTACATGGTCGGTGCCAGAAGTTGGCTTATAGCTGGAGCCATAGAAGTCAGCCATGATACCAGGAGGCAAGACTGCCTGCTGTCCCAGACCAGCCACATGGTTCTTCTGTCTTAGTTCAGCCTCTAGGTTCAAAAGTGATACACGGATACCTGCTGTGGCAATCTGAGCAGGATTCCTGAGAGCTGGTATTCTGAGGCTGCTCTCTGAGCACCTGACAGGACAGCGTGGTGGAAACAGCAGCTGTGGGACCCTGTGTGTGCACTCTGGTGCTCACTACAAGCTGACTGAAGGCATGACTATATCTTGGGGGCAACTAAATGTGGTGCACGTGTGTATCGCAACCGTGTCTCCTAGCATGCGTGGGTGCGTATGTGCTCAAGTGGGATGACCTCTACATGGGTGAAAACACAGAACAGCATGGCACAAATGTGCTTATTATTTCTTTGTTGCCAAGTTACGAGTATACTAGGTCACATGATGCTGGAGGCTGCCACACTCTAAAGCCAGACCCCAGGACTGTCTGCTGTGGGTGACAGGATGGTGCTGGGCTCTGCAGTAGGTGGGCTGAATTGTGCAAACAGTGAATGTTGTGAGTAGATAAATCATGAATGAGATAAAAACATTTCTATGTGTGCTTTCAGCTCCAGCTAGTGTTTAGTTGATGTAATACATTTCTCACACACATTTCCTTTTCTTTTAAAAAGTAAAAGCAAACAAACAAACAAACAAACAACAACAAAAATTGCATCACACCACAGGAGGAAAAGAACTAGGTTATCATTAAACGTAAGTGACTATAAAAGTATGTGTAGCTCTCTAAGATATAGAGCTGAACAGTCACTCAGATGACGACCTATGAGTGACAATGACACACAGGGGTGTGAGGCCGGGGGGGGGGGATCTAGTGACAGAGACCTGGGGCGCATTCTCTGGAAGAACCAACAGACTGATGAGTAAATCCCAGGCAGAGGTTAATGCTCCACTAAGGGCTATGAGAGTTGGAATGATCACTTGTGAACCTGTAAACGCAGGGGACAGCCCAAGTGGGCTTTGGGGACAAATCCATTTTTCTGAGATCCCACTTGTTAAATACATGAGGTTTCAGGCCTGGAACAGTTCACAAGTAAGTGTCAGACTTACTTTCTGTCCGAAGATTCCTTTTTCTCCATCAATGCCGGGATGACCCTGTGTTGCACAGAAAACACAAGCAATGAACAGTCTGGAACAGGTGGCGAAATTCCCCAGAGGGCTGCATGACAGTTCCAATGGCCATAAAGCAGTCTATGCTTTCAAGGTTTGGAAGCGCAGGTACAGATGACCAAACGCCACCCCAGGTACTTTGATGGCCGCTGATGCTCAAGGCTCTGAAGGCGACATCTTCCTCTTACAGATGAGTCTCCCGTGAGGGACATTCTTATTGGACTCTTTGGGTGACTAGAAATGACCCTGCATTCTACATATACTCTGCAGTTTGTTACCAAGATTAGTCTCTCATCAGGAGGAACCTCCAGGGAAAGTGCAGTGTTCTAAAAACTTCAGCATGGGGTGAACATGGGTTCATGGGTTGTAGCAAATGCACCTGAGGGGGGTGTCCCTGGTGGCATATGCCTAGCTGGCTGGCTATGGCCAAGAGTGGGGCCAGAAGGCCATAGGAAATCTCAACTTTTTGCTCAGTTTTTCTGTGAACCTAAAAACTGATCTAACAAAAGAAAATCTGTTTAAAAAGCAAAAGGAGCAAAAAGTCAACTAGCCATGGTTATACAGTACATGGCTTACCCGTGTTCCTGGGAATCCCATGATGCCTTCCTCGCCTTTCAAGGAGGGGCCCTAGGAGAGAGAAACCAGAGTGTGGGGGATGCTGAGAGCTGACTCCGCCAGTGGGACACTCTGCAGCCTCCCCAGGCCCCTCAGTGACAGGATGCTAGAACAGGTAACAGGTGGGAGTAGAGAGAGCACAGGGCTGTTTGTGGATCATCTTTATCTAGGATGCCACATGTCACCACCACAAAGTAAGTGACAGCGAGGAAGAACTAGAAAGGTGAGTCAAACTGGATGGGATAAGCAAGATGGCAGTGACCCCTTGGCTCACAGTAGAGGCCAGTCTGTCTCCCTCCCAGGCCCTCACTCACACACTGTCATGCTCAGCTTACAGCTTCAGACAATGCTAATTATTATTATGATAATATATCATATAATACCCAATATTATTATATATAACATACTATGTTTCTTCAATACCTTCCCATGTAGAGGAGTTCATGAGAACCCAAGAACATAAGACCAAAGCACACCCCACCCTCAGAGCGCTCTCCACCATTCTAACATGAGCCCTGAGGGTGGAGCAATCACGAAGGGAAAGAATTTCATCATTGAACTTACTGGTATCCCTTGGTCTCCTCTGCTTCCCTTTTCACCCTGTGAAAACATGAAATAAGAAACACTTGCACCGTTGAGACCTGAGGTACTTAGGCATGGACCCTGGCTCAGGATACGAGGTTAAAAAGTACTTGCTAAAACTTCAGGCAATCTAGACAATTTCCTGGCAATCATTAACAGCCCCATATGCTGCAGCTTCAAAATTCAAATGTACCAGCAACAGGGCACAGGCACTTCTGATCATCCAGGTAGATGGAAGTTAGCTCCCACACATCTGTCCCACAGTGGGAGAACACACCCTAGGAAGAAACTCTCCCGAAAATGACCACCTTCAGTCAAATAAAGTCTGCTTAGGAAAAGACAGTTAGGTGGAACACACTAACATCTCAAGCCAAATGGCTTTAAAAGCAATAAAGGCTTTCTTCACTCTATTTTTTCCTTTTTTTTTTTTTTTTTTTTTTTTTTTTTTTTTTTTGGACTGGGAGGCCCTTGTCCCATTTTTGCTGCTAACACTTAAGATCCTGCAGCTCCCAACTGCCTGCTGCTCCTGGCGGGAACCATGCAGTCCCTCCAATAGCCGGTGCAAATCTGAGTTTTTTTTTTTTTTCTTTTTTTCCTAATTTGGCGGTGAGATCTATCCCATCTTAGGATGCAACTGTTTGCATAAAATGAAGAAAGTGGCATTTGCTTTCTCCTTTTCCTAGGTCACCTGGGAATGATCACCCTTTTACCTTGTACTGATCTGGACGGTACGTTGTTGTTGTGGGCCCAATGAGTGTGATGTCGGATGGGATCCCATTGGGTCCTGGCTGTCCTACGTCACCCTGTCAAAAAGTGACAGTTTTTGAATCAGAAGAAGGGTACATAAGTTGGGTGACAGCACAATCTCACCACACACACTATTTTGTTTTGCATGTTACCGAACACCTGCTTTGTACCGAAACAAAAATCATCATAATTTTAACTCATCGTATCAAAATCATCATAGTCTAAAATGATGTGAACTGAGCTTCCATCACCAATTGTTCAGAATTTTATATGTCAAGGTCACAGAGATCATTAATAATTCCACACTGTACTGCACCTGTGGGTTACAGCCTTTGATTGATTTCTATACATGCAGGTTGTCAGCAAGCAAGAGGAGCTGTATACCCTAAAGAGTAAAGGCTAGACAAAGTATCTCGAGGAGGTGTTCACTGCATTTGTATCAGCAGCAGCAAAGGCCAGCAAGCCTCATGCCTTGTTCACACATTTTCTCCTTTAGAAACTGATGAATGCAAAGAACTTGCTTTCTGTTATTTCCACATATAAATGACTCTTTGAGTTTCAGCTATCATGTAACAGGAATGGCAGCAGACTGAGTGCTTGGTCACCCTCTGAAGAAGGCTTCTGTGTGTCCTCAGCACTAACAGGTTGGAAGACTGTTAAAGGATACACTACTCAAGGGGGCTTGCTGTGCTCATTATCGTCCGATTAAGGCCTTTTGTGGATTGCAGATCTAACTTTGTCTCCACTGTCCCCCATGTGACTATCCTACCAGTGGTTTCTCCCCAGGCCCTCCACCCTCTTATTTTACCTTATTACTGTGGGATTGTAGGAACTTTACATTTTTATGTGTTTTGATCTTTAATTCCCCCCTTATTATTTTAGGAATTCTGATTTCCACTTATGGAATTCAATGAAAAAGCAGAGTGTCCATGGATGATAGCACTCACATAGTAGAGCCAGAGGGACAAATCTGCTGCCTGGGGAGCAGGTGGGCTCACGGTGAATGAGAGTGTAATTGGCTGGCCAGGTGTGGGTACCATGTTCCTCTTCGAAGCCATGGGGGCTCGCAAGGAGGCAACGAAAGTCACACAACCCTTTCATGACTGGAGTCATCCAGGGCAGCCGTGTGATTGTTCCCTGAGGTGATGCTAGATTATTCTTCAGTCGAGTCTCTCTACCTTTTTGTTTCAAGACAGGGTTTCTCAGTGTAGCCTTGGCTGACCTGGAATTCACTCTGTAGACCAGGCTGGCTCAAACTCAGAGATCCACCTGTCTCTGCCTCCCAAGTGCTGGGATTAAAGGCATGTGCCACCACTGCCTGGTTTAGCTTGAGTCCTTTCGATCATCTCTGAGTCCCACACATTAAAAGACACTCTTAGGGGACACCTCCACTTCCCAGTCCTTAAGACAGGTGGAAGTCACATGTCCCTGTCGGAATCTAGACAGTTCACATTCATGTCTCACTGATCCACAATTGTCCTTGGAGTGTGGGTGACCTGACACTTGACCGAGATCTCTATGCAAATTGTGTGTTTGCAGGTCACCTGGAGAGTACCAAGTCACCCTGGGCAGTGATGGTCACTAGTTCCTGTCATCAGGTCTCTTTACCTTTTCACCCTTCTTTCCGTAAAAACCAAGTCCTCGGTTGCCCTGGAAACAGAGATAGAATCCATGAGTTTGTAAGAATAAAGAATCACAGTGAAATGAAAGTATTTTTTAGAAGAAAAGAGGCCAAGCCCTCTCTGAACTGTGACCCCTTATGCCCTTTAGGATCCCAGTGGCTCTGCTGGGTGCTCTGCCTAAGGAAGACCTGAGGAGTGAGTGGTGGAGGTGAAAGGGATCCTGTTAGCTGACACATCAGCTCATCCAAGGGATGTCAGAGTTCGCCCTCAGGTTCTGGGTGCTCTAACATACAGTGCAGCCCAGATACCATATCTGGAGACCCAAGTCATCTCATTTAGATAAAACCACCCTAATGTCATATAAACATTTCTTTCTTTTTAATGATTTTAGGGGACTTAACAACTGGTCACATTTCATATTTATGTGCCTGTTTGGATTGTTTTCTGAGGCAAAGTCAGGCCTGTGTCTCAGCCAGTGTTTATTTAACAGTTCCTCTGAGGAGCAGCTGGGCTGGAGTCAGCCCTCCCTGATGCCTGGGACCAGCGATGCGAGGAGGCACCCCACAAATTCACACAGTGCTCTTTCCTCTTGCCCCCAAGCAGCTGTAACTCTTTCCCAGGGTCTCTCTCTACTGCTACAGTGAGCAAGAGTCACACAGGACCCCTGAAGTCTCTCTCTGCAGTCTACTGTCTGTCTCCTCTGATGCTTAGATATCTTTTGAAAATAAAAGCAAAACCTTTAATTAAATTCTGCTTTTCTTGCTTCGCCACCTGGCTGGGAGCTAAAATCAAAGCACAGCATGGCGGCCATGTGAGCCCCTACAGCATTCTCTGCTCAGAGCTGCTTGTCAAAGTTGCCAGGAAGTGACTTGGCCAGGGTGAGGGGGCTGTTTGTATTTGCAGCAGCCAGGGGAGATCTGAGGCCAGAGCCTGGGCTGGGCCACTGCTTCCTTGGCCCTGCAGCCCTGCCGGCTTCCGCTGTCCTTGGCTCTAGGCCCTTTCCATCCTGCTCGGGGCTGTCTGATGGGGGTGAGTGTGTGTGGGGGAGTGGGGGGTATCCAGGAGCCTCCTCAAGTTCCAGCTCCAGCTGGAACTCTGTTGGAGTGGATGGAGCCTAAGGGGTATGGGGGTGGGTGGCAGGCAAGGTTACCAGGGGTCACAGAAATGAGACTGCATATGGAGCCGGCGTGGGAACATGAAGACCTGCATCTGGAATGGAGTAGCCGATGGCTCCTCCAAGCCTCCTGCTGGACCCCAGTATCTCTGATCAGATATTTTCCTCATCAACATGACTGAGTCTGGACATTTATCCAACTTTCCCAGGTCACAACAAATCCTGGCTCTGTTCTCCAAGGTTCTAACAAACTACATGATTGGTTGTGTTTCCACCAATGTAACAAGTACCCTGTCGTGGGAGCAATGCGGCTCTGGGATCCAGCCTGACTCAGGAGCACTGGACATGTCCCTAGCACTGACCTGAGGCTCCAATGGCTTCTTACTACATTCAGGTAGGACGAGGGTTTCCCACTTCCCTTAAGTAAATGTAGTGTCCCCAGTCCACCCTGGGAAATTGCACCTATAGATAAATAGGAACTGCCCCTAGATAGTTCAGCTGCACAGCTTTCATTACGGCTTGTTAGTGTGATTAGCACATAGCCACAGAGGTGTCATGGAGCCTCAAACAGTATCACCCAGCATCCTCACATAGGTTTGGGCCAGGTGTCCAGACACTCTAAAGAATCTCTTCCTATGCATCAAGGCTCAGCATAATCTATACCAGAAACAGCTGTCAGCCTAGTTGTTTTCTGGTCAAAGAAGACAGACATTAATCACCAAAGAGACCCTCCCTCAGCCTTGTCCCCACCAACTTACTGGTTGTCCTTTGGGTCCAGGGGGCCCTGGTGGTCCCTGCAGAAATACAAAGACATGTATATTTTCCTTCCCTCCCATGACCCAGATGACATCTGCTTGGAGGCCCTGGGAAAACCATCGACTGTCCACTTCGAACAGTATGGTCAGAGCTTCCCCATCTGTCTTGGTGGGATGAAAAGCCAGGAGGAAGACCGGGTCACTGCCCTTGGAATGTGCCGCTGTCTACCCACAGCTGTTCCTGGTTTGCTTGTGTGTTTTGGGCTTGTGACTTCACCGCATCCTTGATGTGTCTGTCCCTAGGCTTTGTGAGGTCCCAGGCCCTGTGACTGCAGCCAGATTCCCCACAAGACACTGTCACATTTTGGCGGTGGAGTCACAAATGTTCACAGACAGATCTGTAGGTCAGTTCCACAGACTAAGCATCTGCAACATGTATCCTAAGGGTCTCTGAACTATGCTTTTTATCTATTCCTTGCACTTTCCTTGTGCATATGTGCATGTGTGTATGTGTGTGCGTGTGCATGTGCGTGTGTGTGTGTGTGTGTGTGTGTGTGTGTGTGTGTGTGTCCGCGTGCATGTGCATATGTATGTGCACATGTCTGAAGGCCAGTGTTCTTCCTCAATCACTGGACCATACTCTACCTTACTTTTTGAGATGGTCTCACACTAACCCTGTTGCTTATGAATTCAGCTAGGCTGGCTGCTCAGCGAGCTTCAGGGATCCCCTTGTCTCCACCTCTCCAGCTCTGTGATTACAGGTATATGATACCATACTTGGTTTCTCACATGGCGCCAGGGATGGGACTCAAGCTTTCAGGCTTACACAGCAAGCATGTCACTGACTAAGCTACCTCTCCAGCCCCTCTGAACTCTATTTAGAGAAAAACCCTAAGCTGCACAGTTGTTGCTGTATGAGTGAGCCAGCTACTCGCAGGGAGAGTAGTATGCCTCTCGTTGCTCTATCTTGGCTGAATCTGCCACAGTGTTGAGGCAGAAAGACTTCTATTGCACAAGGGTTTTTTAAAGGTCACAATCATTATTATAACTGATCATTGCAGCCTGGAGGGAACTACACTCTCCCCTCCCAGGCTGTGAGCTTGCACACACACATATGAGGGCAGCCTGAGTCCTGAGAATGGGTTTCTGGGAGAATGTCACTTACCTGGATCCAAACTCCCTTGTGTGTCATCTAAGACTTATTTGTCTTACTGCTCAGAAGTGTTCTTAATGAGGCTGAAGCCTTCTCGTGGTGGCTGAGATATGCTGCATGCTCAGTGTGGTAGCGGGAGCATGCAGGGCTGGGGGTGCACTTGCCCCCTCCTCCTCCTTTCTTGCAAGCCCTCCCTTATCCTGCTTCTAACCCAACACACTTTGCTATGTCATTGCACTGGAAGGGAGGGGCGGCCTGTGGCCTCCATTCTATAAATGATGTCCAAAGTTTCCCTTCTATAGTGGCTATGGCCCAGGTGGGATGTACCTGCTGCACATGGCCTGGCCCAGAAAAAAAAATCTGTTTTCTTGTTGACTTGAGTCGGGTATTTGGTTTTCTTTGCCCAGGGATGATGGCCCCTTGTCACATAGTTAATATGGAACCTGGAGAGCTTACCCATGATGGGAGGGGCCCCAGCTAGAACTTTCTGTGACTCAATGATGCTCAGTAGGTTAAAAAAGGACCATCCATAGGTGACCTGACACGGGCTGGGGTGACCAACCACAGGGACTTACCGGTCTTCCGGGTGCTCCCATGGGACCCATCTGTCCTATCAGCCCCAGGCGGCCAGGAGGCCCCTGCGGATGGACAAAGAAGGCATGGCTTGAAGACAGCAGACTGGCATGACTACTCAAATGTTTTTAAAGTTCTGCATGGAAGAGTCCCTAAGGGAAACAATACTCACCTGGTAGCCGATCTGTCCAGGCTCTCCAGGTTCACCCTGGTTGAGAGGAAACAGGGTTAATTAAGAATTACGTGTGTGTGTGTGTGTGTGTGTGTGTGTGTGTGTGTGTGTGTGTGTGTATGTGTGTGTGTGAGCGCACATACATATGGGTGCATGAGTTCTTGCAGGCATATGTGTGTTCATGTGAGGCAAGAAGTCAATGCCAAATGTTATGCCTCAGGAGACAGCCATGTTGTTTTTTGAGGCAGTCTCTCATTGGTCTGGAGTTCCCTAAATAGGCTAGTCTGGATGGCGATTGAACCCCAGGGAGCTATCTGCCTGTCTCCACCTCCCCTGTGCTGGGGTTAAGAATAAGACACTGTGCCCATTTTTTTTTTTTTTTACATGGGTTTTGGGATTTCAACTCAGACCTTATGCTTGCAAAGCCTTTTACCAATTAAGCCATCTCCTAAGCCACAAGAGTTATTGGTTTTAAGCATCGTTGGATTTACCTCTATATATGGCAGAGTTGGAAATAAGCATGAACTATACAAGCCCCTCCCCCCAGACTGAGGTATTTGGTCTTGGGCATTGAGAACATGGGGAAACTAAATACATCCCACACAGAATATGATGACCCCAATCGCAGCCTTGAACCACACCAGGTATCTGTGGGTTCCTTTCTTTCACTCAGAGCTAATTTCTAACTAGGTTTGTTGACAATTTATGTGGGCTCCCTGAGTCCTGTTTCCTATCTATGGCAAACATACCCTGTATTTGTCTTGGTCTTCTTTACGCAGTACGTAAGGTTCACCTTTCTGCCCCTTGGGTCCTTGGGGCCCCTAAATTAGCAGATACACCATAGGAAAAAACACAGAAGAACCCATTATCTTCCAGCATGGCCATGATGACACAGGTGACTGTCATCTTCGTTCACAATGCTCAGAGTCCCCATGGATTACATAGGTAACCCCTCCATACCAACTTCCTTAGGGTCCAACTGTAAGTCTGAGGTTTTTCATACTCTTGAGTTAAAATGGAAACAGTTTATAGGATTTAAATTATCTTCAGAACCTCCACACTTATCCCCTGGCACAGAACTATATTATCTTTTCTTTGTAACAGTATTGGTACCCCAACAGTGTAAACAGGAAGACTCTTAGAGATATTGAATTACACCACAGGTAGGCAGACTGTACAAACAGGAGCACAGTTCCTTTGGATATCTATATGTAATCAGTATTTTACAGTGACATGTGTCTTGGTCATAAAACTTAAGCTTGACAGACAGAGAAGTAATGCAATTCACTGAAACACTGAACCATCCAGAAAAGAGTCGGGGTGAGCTGGCACTGCAAGGTGGAGGTGGAGCCCATTGATCAGAGAAACCAACTTGCTGCAGGATGAAGGTGGGGATGCTTGCTCATGGCTTCTTTTCACCTCAGTGTGTTTTCAAAATACAAAGGCTTAATGAAAAAAATGTTAGTATAACCTGAATTTGCAACTATAGTTCTGAGAGAGCATTTTAGGATTCTTTGCAAAGACCCCAATAATGAGGTCAAAGGATGGGCAATTATAGGAATTCTATTGCCTATCTGCCACTTTGTAGATGCTGGAGAAACAGAGATCCTATCTGATGATTCCTCCATGCCTAACAGACACTTGGGACAAGATTGAAGCTTTCTGGTTTTAGCTGTGTTATTAACTGTTCTAAACAGCTATTCGCTGTTATTTGACTGAGAATACAGGAGGAGATGGTGTGATCCTTGGAGATATCAGGCAAGAACATACACCAAGCCACTTATCTTCTACCTAACACTGAATCAAGAAGAGGGACAACGAACTTGCTTGAATCCAGGACATTCAGCTGGAGAGAGAGAGAGAGAGAGAGAGAGAGAGAGAGAGAGAGAGAGAGAGAGAGAGAGAGAGAGAGACACAGAGAGAGAGAGAGAGAGAGAGAGAGAGAGAGAGAGAGAGAGAAAGAGAGAAGCAGGCAGGAAAAGCAGCTTGTCCTTGTCCTTGATGGCAAGGACAAGGCTTGGCAGGTGGCCCTCCTGGAATGAACCTGGGAAGTGGAGCCCACACCACATTCTGTTTGGTCCAGTTACACTGACAGGTGACCACCACCCAGCCTTCTAGGCTAAACATACCACCACACTGCCCTTATACTTACAGGGGAGCCATAGAAGCCCCCAGATCCAGAGGGCCCTTGTGGACCTGCGTCTCCTCTGGTCCCATTGCAACCATCATAGCCTGGTCTTCCTCGGGGCCCACCTTGCCCTGGATGTCCCTGGAAAGCGGAATGGTGTGTGAATAATCAAGTTTTCACATAATTGATCCATGAAACAGTGGTAAATGCTCTCAAAAGCCACACCCCCAGCACGAATCCAAGGAAAAGATAACTAAAAAATGGATGAAGGAAGGAATGAGAGATTAAACAAGGAAAGATGTAGGTGTGCCTTAAGTGGGTGCAAGGCTATAAATGTGGGGTACCATTCCTCATAGGCGCTAAGGAACTTGGCTTTCTCTGTCTTGCTTCAGGGGCCTTCCAGCAGGCCTTGGGAAACAGAAACCCTGAAAGCCTATACGAGCTGTTAGATGCAGCTGTTGGATGGATTTACAGCCTCACTAAACTGTGGACAGGGAGCCAGAGAGGCCAAATCTCAAGTGAAGGTGGTAGTCACACCCCAGAGCTTTCTTTGGTGACACACTGCTTTAATTATTTTATTGTCATCTGAGAAAGCTCTCACTATGTAGCCTAGGCTGGATACCAACCTGAGATCCTCTGCTTCAGTCTCCCAAATGCTGGGATTACAGGTGTGTACCACCGTGCCCCACAAAGTTTTAGATTTAGGCAAAAATATCAAAACCCTGAGACATTCAGAGTTGTCACCTGGGCTGGCAACATGACCAAGTGCCTGCTAAGTGACTAGAGGGGCTTGGGTTGCATTGAGCTGGTTCAGACAAATGGGGAAGAGCTGACAGCCGACAGTTTGTGCTTTACCAGAACACAACCTGTTTTGATATGTACCTAAACAGCACACATTTAGGTGAGTTTTTGTAATTGTACAATTTCTTTAAATGATGTATCTCAGTAAAAACCAAACATATTCCTGAGTGGTTTCTTCTGAGGCCGTCTGGATGCTTTTTTTTTGATTTGAGAAATTTGGAAAATTTTAAGAGTCTGGGAACAAATCCCACACAAACAACGATACTGAAAAATACTAAAAGAAATTTCTTCCTTTGCACATCTCTTTGCTTTAGGCAGCTTTGGCTTGTGTTTTGGGCAGTTGTACTGTGGTGAGTCAGTAGTGTCCCTGTTGCACTGTGAGTCCAGGAGTGTTCCTTCTTTCTGGTGCCTTCTGGGTAAGGACAAGAGGGGTTTCTAGACCTGGCCTTTCAGTTCTGCCTCAAGAAATTAGCTTTCTCCAGCTCTGCTGTCCCTGCAGCATTTCCCCGGAACATACGGTTGAGGTCTTCACCAGTTTGGTGGAGACTACCTTCCGTGGTTCCTTCCTAGAACCGACCCATAACACTGGGAAGTGCACACCAACATGATCTTGGCTAAAGCTGAGCTTTGAGGAGAACTGACAAGTCACACTGACTAGACATCCACATCCACTTTTCATATCTAATTAGACACCTTTCTCTGGGACAGGGCTCCTAAGCTCCTCATGGATGCTGCCTTACACAACTTTGAACACGTAACATGATGCAGCCCCCTTAAGATCAAGATTCACAAGCTGATGAGCTCTGACAAGTGACATTCAGGCCCCATCATTAGTGCTGTATTCTCTGCAGGGACTCTGGCATCTGTGAGCAGAGCTGAAACTGCGGAAATGGTGGTGACTGTCCCTCTAACTCGGTAATCATTTGCTTCTGATATGGAATAAACATGAAGATACAAAAAAAAAAAAACTGAATGAAAATGAGACACATCGGTTTCCATCCTACCCCATAACGTCCCTCCATCTTAATTCATTTGGATTACCAAACCATCAAGATGGAACTGCCAGGCAGTCCAGAAAGTTCCAAGAAGTAATTTAAAAATGGGCAATTTAGTTTCAGGCTGTTTGTAGAAGAATGTTTTTATGATTTGTTTATCTCTGTCAATGTGTGGATTCTATACTCTGCCTGTTTCTCAAGATTCCAAGTCATGCGACAGTTACTTCTTTTCCCCCAGCTACAGTGTGGTGTAACTCCAAGTCTGCCAGAGCACACTATGGATCTGGGGCATGCTGGGTTCATGTTCTGTTAAACATGGCCGCCTTCCCTCTGCTTGACTTCCCTTCCCTGGGTCCAGTTCCTGTTACCAGCGGTGACAGTGAAGCTGGGGGAACCGCCTCCTTCCCTGTGTGTGCACAGCAAGAGAGACCATGGTGAGGTTCACAGAGCCCATGCCTCCAGGCACAGCAGCAGGCGAAGGAGGCCTGACAGGATGTGTGGTGAACACACTTATTCCTGAGCTCAGGTCTGGCCAGGAAGCCTGAGCTGGGAATCTGCTGGCCGAGTCCTACAAGGAAGGCTGTGAGTCAGGCTGGTTTTGTTTTTGTTTTTTGTTTTTTTTTGCCACAAGAAGTAAATTAGCTCATAAAAACACTTTTATTTCATTTTGAGACTTTTCTCGTGTGTGTGTGTGTGTGTGTGTGTGTGTGTGTGTGTGTGTGTGTGTTGACCTATTCTTAGTTTAGGCTGGCCTTGAACTCATGGCAATCCTCCTGCCTTAGCCTTCCAAATGTTACTTGAGAGACATAAGCCACACCCCACCTATAACTCTCTTTTTGACTCATTATGTGCAATCAACACAGAGACTCTGGGCAGCTGCAGAAGCCACTGTGGGGCTTCATTCCATCCTGGTACTTGATGGGCTTTTGATATTTAGACTGTCCACACGGCAGATGAACTTTTGAGGTCAGCTCTTTACAGACCATCTGTGAACCAGGCTCTATCTTTTTTGACTGCTTAACAAGGTCAAGTTCTAGCCAAGTAGACCCGGTTCTGCAGCCCTATCTATAAGAACCTCCAGGAAGGAAACCCATTGTTTGCCTGGAATCCAGGAGAAAACCAAGTGCAGAGAAAACCCCACCCCCACACCGTTTGATGCTATAAACAAAGAAGCCGCCTCATTTCAAAGGTTTCTTTAAGTTATAAATGTATTGCTTGGAACAAACACAATGCTTAACCCTTCTCATCTTCCCAAACACTTACAGGAATTCCATCTGCGCCGGGGAATCCAGAGACGCCTCTGGCTCCCTGTAAAGAATCAGAACAATTAATTAACATGAACAGAAAGGCCCAGTGCCACCCACAGCAGAGGACCCCAGCCAGGACCCCGAGTGCCACCCACAGCAGAGGACCCCAGCCAGCACACGCACCACATCTCCTTTTGGTCCAGTCGGCCCAGGAGCTCCCCGTTCACCCTTGTCTCCTTTGCGGCCCTGTAGTCCTGGGAAGCCTTGCAACCCTGGGGGGCCATTGTACCCCTGGGTGCCCACTGGCCCCGGCTGACCCTGTGGGAACAACATATCTTCAGTGTCATAGTTGAAACCAAGCATGCATCATCAGTTACAGTCACTTTCCAAATGGCACTTCTCATTCTCCAAGATCTCCCATCTTCAGGAGCGTTGTGTAAATGGGCATCATGTACCAGAACCATCACAGAGGGATCCCTGGCTAAGAAAGAGGTCAGAGAGCTTCCGGGGAAACACATTCAGTGTGGAAAGTGACAGTGCTTGACAGGTGAGGTTGATGGCAAGCGGTCAAATGTTGAGTTGCAACAATAGAACCAACTTGCTTGGCTTTGAAGTCTCGTTGAGTTGCAACAATAGAACCAACTTGCTTGGCTTTGAGGTCTCCTTTGGGTAAAATGCTCCCAACACTTTTCTCTATGTAACATCTACAGGAGCTACACAGAGCACAAGTAGAGCCTTACAAGGGAATATTACTCAGCCTTAAACAGGAAGTGCTAACACATGCTCCAACGGGGAGGAACTCAGAAGACATATGCTTATGAAATAATCAATAATGACAAGTACTAAAGGGTCCCATGTATGTGAAGTCGCTGAAGGGGTCAAGACCTGTCTGAGGTCACATTCCTAAGCCCTGTGCTGTCCTGGGGGTCGGAGGAGGCTTATATCTTTGTTTCTGATCTTGTCCTCCACTGCCCACATGGACAGTCTTTACTGTGAAGTGTATGTTTTTACTGAGTGTCGAGAGGCCATATTTAGTGTCTCATAGTATTAAAGTGAGAAGACAGACTTATGGGAGGTGAGGTATGAGGTGGATGTCATGGCGATGCCCATCCAGGAGCAGGGAGCCCTTATGCAGGGCTGTTCATGTACCTCTGCTACAGGTTCTTGTAGGATCCACAGGTCTGTGGGTGGAAAAGTCCCATTCTTTGAAGACAGAGACTGGTGGCAGAGATTTAGGGTCCTACCCCAGAGCTCAGGCACCCTAACTCCTCAACCCAAGGGGAATCTGGAGAGGTCCCTGGGGCTGGATCTGGGTCAGTGTCTGAGTGGTAGATACAGGGCTCCCTTTCCCCTTCCTTCATGCCTTTCAGCATCATCCAGCCATGCCACACCAGCAAATGCCCAGCCAGGGAGGGGCCGACACAGCGTCCTGGGCCTGGTGTGGTCCATGCATCATAGACTCTTGGAAGAACATTACAAGCATGAGGCTGGTCCCACTGTGTGACCTCCTGTGAGGACAGTGGCACTGTGGGCTGGACACAGGACTGAGAAACTCAGCGCTGTCTCTGAAGCACTGTGTTTTGATTGCTGTTTGTGTGTTTGGGAAAAGAACATGTTTTGGCTCTGGCTTTTATGGGTCTTTCCCAGCCATGTCCATCTTGGTTTGGTTTGTGGTGGTAATGGATCTAGCTTTCCTGGGGTTAGACAAATTCAGCAGAGCCTCAGCTCCCCATGTCACGTGGAGGTCACCCTTTACAATGATCACTTGTGGGGGGGATGGGACACCCCTCAGAGTGATGTGTATCTTTACTGCTCACAGCCTGCAAGTCTGCCGGGGGGGGTGTTAATCATACTAGATCTGAGGAATACACAGGTCCCTAGCTAGCACAGGACCTGTATGTGGGACAGGAGACCACCCTCATTCTCATACTCAAACCCCTTCCTGGGCCCCTGGATGGGAAAGACGGAGTACTCAGTGAACTCACTTCCCCTCCACTGCCAGGAGACCTCTAACCTGAACTCTCGGATGGGTGTCTACCTCCGGGGTAAGCTCTAGTCTTGTCTCCTCGGGAGCATTCTGTCACCTCTTCATTGCACAACCCAGTGGCTTTCCACACTGAGAAAGTCTCACCTTTATCTAGATCCAAAAGTACTTTCCTGGCCTCAGAGAGAAATTCAGACCCATTAAGCAATCCCTCAGTCTCTGGCAACCACCCTTCAGCCTCTGTGTCTGTAAGTCAACAGAAATGAAATCACGTGATGTGGGACCTTTTGCGTCTGGCTTCTTTCACTCAGTGCAATGTTTTGGGAGCTCATCTATATACTGTGGCACAGACCAGTATTTCATATTCATGGCTGGGTATGACTCCATGTATGGGTATACCCAGTCTATCCTCTCATCTACCAATGTGCATATCTGAGTGTTTACAGAAACATGTGTATCCCCAGTCTATCCTCTCATCTACCAATGTGCATATCTGAGTGTTTACAGAAACATGCCATAGCACACATCTGTAGGTAGAAGACAACTTATCAGAGTCAGGCCTCTCTGTCTACCTTTCCATGGGTCCTGGGGGATCAAACACAGGTCTCCAGGGTACACTGCAAACATCTTTTGCTGAGCCTTCTGGCTGGCCCATCCCACTTCTGGGACTTTGAACAGTCCTGCTATCAGCATGTGTGTCAAACATCTGCTGGAGTTCCTCCTGTCAGTTTTCGGTGTCTATCCCCAGGACTCAGTGGGTCCCATAACAGTCCCACATTCAAGTTTCTGGGTTGTGACCAAACTTTTTCCTCAGTGACTGCACCATTTCACGGCCCTACCAGAAATGCTCCAACTTCACTCCACCCCCTGCTAACACAATTTTCTTCTTCTTTGGCTCTAGCCAATCTTGTCAATTTTGAACAACTTCTCCTGAGTGTTGATGGGCTGGAACATTACACAGCCTCTAGGCTGCTTCTCTCCAGGGCGGGGGAGGGGGTATCTGGGGAGAATTGGTGTTGGAGCCTGGGCCTGGCTCCTGTTGCCAGCTTGAACCCTGCCTTGTGGGGTAACTGGGCATTTGTGCACAGTCTCAGTGTGCTCCTGGGAGGTGTGTTTGGTTGGTCAGGCTGGGGCTTTCCCCAGGATGTCCTGCCTGGTGGAGAAGCAGCAGCTGCACACACAGGTGATGCGGGTTTCCATTTGTGCTAATCAGCGGAGGCACACATTTCCATCCTCTGCTGAAAAGTCCAGCTCAGAAAACTAATTTACATCCCTTCCTTTCCTCGTGTAAAGAGGCTAAAAATAAAACTGTCCTGAGAGAAGGTGTCTACACACCAGCCTCAAAACTCCCAAATCCACGAAGCTCTTCCAGTTCCTACAACATCCCTGAAAATCTCCTCCCTCCCACAGCTCCCATCTCCATAGTGCAGGGACACACACAATGGATCTTACAAGCCCGGGACACTTTTCAAAGGACCTATAAGACCATGTGCTATATTCCCCCCCCACCTCATTCTAGCCAAGGGATGGGCTTCCTAGGAAGCAGGACAATGAAAAACCACCACTTTCCATCTCCGGGAGGTGGCCCACCAGAAGTTTGACAGCAGCGATCCCATTTTGTCCCTTGGTGATGGCATGGAGAAGGGCTGAACACCAGCGGGAAGGAGCTATAACTGGGCTTAGAAAGGCTCAGCACTGAGGGCTGTCTACCTGGCTCCTGGCTGATTGAGTTCTGTCCTTGTGTCTCTGTGTGCGGTCATTTCAACTTCATCCTAAATACATAAGCAGTACAGTGTCCCAGGCATGGCCTTGGAACCTTGAATCTGTATTTCACATAATCCCAGAGGTTTCTGTGTGCATTGCTGTTGAGATACCACCATGTCCTACCTCTCCACTTCTCCCCACCGGGCACTTACGGGAGGAGATGGTTATCTTTTAATAAGAAAAATCTCCTTAGGACTAAGTTGTAGCTTAGAGAAAGGTCTGGCTTTCAAGTCAGACAGAGGAAGAAAAAACATTTTGTCAGCTAAATATTAACTTTAATCAAACTTCCCTACAAGACAAAAAAAGCAGGACAGGGGCTTGTCCATTCGACACCCTGTCCTTCCCTTTCTGGGGTCATGGCTGCTGTGTGCCTGGGTCACCAGTCGTTTTTGGCTGAGGGCAAGGCCAAATTAAAAACCAACTTTATTAAGTTCTATGGTTCTGGAGGAGGTATGCTTAGACTTCCAGCCTCTGAGTTTTCCTGAATTTGGAAACATTTACATCTAGAAACAGGGCTAAGTGTCATCAGACTGTGTTCATGAAGATGCAATTGGACATTGCAACAAAGGACAGAGAAACCCAAATACCGGTCTCCAAGGACAGAACCTGTCTCTGTGCAAACCAGGATGTTCAAGCTGGCGGCAGCCTTTCCTGGTAGAGCAGAATAGATCCCCATGACGCAAAGCCCAAGGCTGAATGGTAGGAAATTCCCTCTCCTTCCCAAGCTGACCCTTCCTGTCTCACCTTTCCCGGGCACCAGCCACAGACCCTCCTGCCCTCCCCATCTCCTTGCAGACTCTCCCTTCCTCTGAGGGCAGCAGACCATGGCTCTTGGTGATCCTGGGGAATTCCTAAGTCCCAGTGAATTTCTGCAAGCCTGATGGCACACACTGGAAAAAATGTGAGACGTCTGCAAAGGCAGACATCTCCAGGATCCGGGAAACTTACTCTTTACCCCAGAATTTAGAACTGTTTATTGTTCATAAGGATGACCAGTTCACATCTGTAAACATGTTAGATCAACCTCAGTGTGAATTAACGAGGACCAACAGAAAATCTTGGATTAGTTATATGACGTGGGTTGATAAGGACCTTAGAGCTACTCTCCAAAATTATTTAACAGATTGTATTAAAAAGTAAATAGCATCTGGACTTGGTGAGATGGCTCAGCGGGTAAAGGCGCTTGCTGTCCAGACTGACAGTCTGAGTTCCACCCCTGGAACTGATTCCGACAGTTGTCCTCTGACCTCCACACACATACACAAATGCCATGGAGCAAGTTTGTCCCCCCAAATATTTACATATGTGTGTAATAAAAATTTTAAAGTAAATAAAATCCCCATGTAATGAAGCAAACTTTCAGTTATACTCTCAGGACGCTACTTAGGAACATTGCACTTGAAAAGGATTGGACTCAAATGAAAAAAAAAAAATAAAACTAAAAAAATTCCAGCCAACCACCACCACAACCCACCACCACCTCCACCACCACCACCACAGGCTAGAAGAAAACATTACAGGGAAAATTTGTGAAACTTTGGGTTGTAAAAGATTTCTTAGGCACAAAAAC